TCCTTTCCAATCTATCCATTCAATTGGAAATATTTCTAATCATTAGCGCACATTTTTAGAAATAAATTCATGTACCATTTTTTTATTCCAGTGATTACCAAATGTAAATGATAAGAAAAGTCAAGGAAGATGATTGATTTTTGATGAATGAAATCATGACGTTAACCAATTTAATGGAGGATCGCGATATTCCCTACCGGATATTTTATTAAATTTCCAACGGACATTCCAGATTTTCATTAATTTAATGAGGCAATGAACGTTTCATGGGGATTATATGAGAGTCTCAATGAGAGTTGCTAGAGTTTTTATGAGAGTGTTATGAAGATTAAGTCAGTCAATTCCAGAACGTGGGTAATTAACTCCCTGAAAATGGATCACCCAAAAAAATAGAGTTTAGTTAATTCAAAGGTACTTGATGTCCAGCGGAGCGTGATAAACCCGAGATGGGCATCCGTCAGAGTCCCATCGCCGTTGGCGACCATTCGAAAATGTTTACGAAAGTGAGCCCCGTGGTGAAACGAAATTACTTTAGCATTGCGCCCCTGGGTGCCTCCCAGTGAATACATATCCTTGGCTTTTAAAATAAATGCCTACAATCCATACAAGGAGGAAGTATGTGATGCACCTGGCAAGCGTTTATCTGCATGCCTGGAGGCCAGTGTCCATCATTGGTGAAGGCAAAGAGTGGGTGGATTACACCGGAGAAATTGTACGAAACAAGTAATAAGTTTGAAATGTTACATTGGAGAATTAATAATGCTAGAGTTGCTCACCTCCAAAAAGCAACATCTCGGGTTCAACTGAGATTTCACGGAATTTTCGGTCCAGCCGGCGGGGTCTCCTGCCAGTAACAAGTCTTGTCAGTGGTTTTGCCGAGGGTTAAGGGTCATCCCTCTTCCACTTAACCCTTTGAGAACTTTCGGTTGAATCACTGATGTCCCAGAATTAATTTCTCACAATCCAACACACCACGTCGGCACGAAATATGAAGATGATTTTTATTGTATCACGATTGCAATGGTAGATAAGAAAAATTACTTCAAGGAAATTAATTTACTAATATCATGGTTTCAGAACTTAATGAACGTCCCACATTCATTTCCTTTAATTTCTATAAAACCGTCGGAAAAGGGTTCCTTGTTTCGGATAACGTGAATAATAATAATAATTATTAATTAATAATTCATAATTTTCCCATCTAGTGTAGCATATCACGGAAATTTCATTTCTAACGTGAATTACATGGTTCTCGACAGAATATGGAAATGCTTGAGTGAAACGCAGGCCGTGGGGACAGATTATCCCTCGGCTAACACCCGATTTTACACGAAGTAGCCCATAATTTTTTCTAAACGTTCATCCCCAATGCCGAACTGATACTCACTCATGATCAGTAATCCCCCAATTTCCCTCGGTAGTAAGTTGTAATTGAAACAACACAAAATCGTTGACTCGTTCCGTCGTGTGTCGCCTTTCCAGCCAATTAATTCTGCCCCGGTATTCACTCCATCACTGTGTTCCCTCACTGCATTAAATGAAAATGTATATGTGAGTGTTGGGCAGGGGAATTTATTTAGTGCGGCACGCCAGGCGTTTCACAATCCCCCCCTGTACAAAACTCGTAGACTTTAATTGATGTTGTACGATCGATGTTTTGCGGAGGGTCGTGGCCCACACCGAACACTTTGTCGCTGATTGAACGCCTCTTACATACCTGTTTATTCGGCCCCATGATCGATAAGTAATTACTTCATTAATTTTTGTTTTTTTTCGTATCGGTAGTTCAGCGGTGCACACTTCCCTGTCTTAATTATAATGAGACTACACACCTCTTCCTTTCTTTAGAATACTTCTTAGAATACCGATGCAATTTAAAATTAATGAAAAAACTCATAGAGGAGCCTAGGCCCTAAGCTCCTCTATGAGGTTTTTCATTAATTTCAATATTGTTTAGAATAGGTGCCGCGAAAAAGAAAGAATAAAAATAAAAAATCAGAAATCATGAAACAAATGTCGCAAAATGAACAGAAAATCTCGGTCTTATAATTCGTCGAAAAAAAAAAATGATCGAGTGATTGACTGACTCCAGGAAAGTCAACACATTTTTAACGCAAATAAATTGATATCACAGAAGTAATTTTTTCCTCAGTGCAACTGCTTCAAATAGCCAAGCATCAAGACTGCAAGTGATCTATCCCAATTTGTAAAATATTCTGTGTATAGTAAGTGCTCCACAAAAGTTAAAAAGATGCTCGATACCTTCAGTAATTATAGAGTTATTTAAAATAGATTGTGGTGGAAGACAGCGGGACACCCAGTGACTAATTTTCCCTCTAAATCGAGAAAACTTAGCCTGCACCCCGCGTTGCATATGCCCCCAGAAATAGCATTAAACGTTCTTCCCATCTCGCTGAATGATGCAGCTATTTGGTCTTAATGCATCGAAGGAGGTAACCCCACGTAACGCCACTAATGCCTCCTGTCATTTATTATAAAAGCCACTTTCACTTATCTTTCAAACAGCGTTTCAAAGTGGAACATGTTCAAACCTTTTTTCACCCGAATCGTGTTCTCAAAACTCACCAAAAACCCTTGACAGACATCATTAATTCACTGAATGTTTGTACAATGCATTTCGCTCAATATTTATGATACCCTCGGCGGTATATTTTGAAATTCAGTAATTCATCTTCTAAGAAGTCCCCAACGATGTCAAGTTCATCCAAAGAGGCAAAAAGATAAGTCAAGCGTTAACTCTGCAGTTTTTCACTTTGTCCAGTGGTTAATTAATCCCCAGGCATTAATAATGATGATGTGGAACGAGTGCACGTCCTAGGGTTCTCGGATAAATTTCAATTTCTTCACGTTGATTTTTATCCTCTCATTTTATTTCTCCCAGCGATTTTTATTTGCAATCTGGTGATGTCTGCCCGGTCCCATCGCATCCTGAATAATTTATAAAATCCGTGCGGAGCGGCTCGTGAGAGGGGGTCGCATTTACGAACAGAAAGTTCGTGTATGTGTGGATTCTACCTCAGCTAAAAGTTAAAAAGTGCCGCCTCACAACGATAACCCACGGGCGCTTTTATAATTAGGCTAAGAAAACGAATTGCGACTGACATCCATATCGACTACCTTAACTCAAAACCTTAACTAACGAGCCTACGTTCCATTCGATCGGGCACAAATAAATCTTCAACTCCGGGGTATCTCCACCATTATCGTAAATCTTACCGCCATCGCCGCCGCTGCAAGTCCTCCTCGACGCGTGTGTGTGTGGATACGGATACACACGTGTACATTTTTTTCTTCTTCATTTCCCCGTTTTTTTTTTCCTACGTCGTTCGTACACTCCGTGGACTCCTCTGCTCCGCGGATAAACCTTTCGTTTAGCTATTTACATCCATCATAAATCACTGGGTTATGTTGGAACATTAAAACGGCGCGCGAACGATCGTTTGAAGTCACGCGCACACCTTCAGTTCTCGTCAATATTTCACATACGAAATTTGCAAGGGATTGGGGTTGAGAAAAGCTGATGGAATCATCTGATAGAAACTGGGGTATTCGGTTGAGGAGGCATCAAGATGATTTTCATTCTGGAAATTGATGATTTCAAAGGTTGCGGTGTGTAAAGAAAAATGCGATGAGGTAGCAAAGTTTTTTCAATAGATTTTAAAGATTCTTTATTTCAGTGGAAGCATTCAAATTGAAAATTGAAGGATTTCCTTTTCCGCCATTGGACTCACATGAGTCCGTACGACGCCCTCCCTAGATGGCGCGATGAAGTAGGAAATTAGATAGAAAACTGCTGCCGTAATTTATAGATTCTCGTCGCGGCTAAAAAACTGGGATTTTACCTGAGGTATTGTACAGCCTAGTCTGGGTCCATCCATGTTATCCCCTGTCGTGTGTGCCATGTGCCCATTCGCCTTTCGTTCATTGGCGTCCCACCGAGACCTACGTACTTATACATTCAAAACATGCCGCGCGATAATTGTCAGGGAATTGAGATTCTGGGGAAGGAACGAGGGGTATATCCATTTGACTCGTCAACGTTGAGCTTTATAAATGGCACGGGTGCCAGTGTGTGCACGCTCCATGATTTATACGACAAGACTCTGGAGATGGAAGACCACGGTCAGGCCATGTAACCGGCTATTAAATTCAATATGAATGTGATACTACATCGGCGCCTCAACGCTCACACGGATGTAGAAATTAAAGATATCCAAGTAAAAAATAACTGGAGAAATTTTTTTTTCGTCAAAATCCTGTTCCACATTTATAGCTGGACATCAAAGTCTTCATTTGAGCCTCATTTGGCTCCGGATTTTCGATGATTTTACGATGGTATTATAACTTCAACTTTAAAAGCTACAAATTGGATTCTGAAAATTGTAATTCGATAAAAATGAAAATGTCGGAATGGAGACATTGATTTCAGTGATGGAGAAAATTTTGCCTAATTGATTGAACGCGGAGCGGATTTGAGAAATCATGAATATGTATGACTGCTTGGATAATCGCGGAATTGAAGGGAGGCGGAATCAATTATGCAAAGGGAGAGGGAGAAGAAATGTTTGGGTTGATTCGGAGAAGCTTCAATTGAGGATTCAGTTATAATGTTGATTGCAAATTTTGATGGTTCTATTTTCAAGGGACAGAAATGGCAAATATAGTGTATTCGACGACTGAATCACTATTGACATTTCGAACGCCTCATGTTAATCATTTTGCGTCAAACTCACAACTCACAGGTATTTCTGCTCTTTTCATCATTCCACCGCACGAGGTGGCGTATCATTCATCACTACCACCCCCGTGAAAACTTTATCGGGATTTGATTGGGCGGTCAACACACTTTATTAGATAGTCGGAATTAAATTCGGTGCGAGAGAACGTAAATACCAATTTACTCTAAGTTGATTGATTATTATATCGTAATTGCAGTTAGTAAACCTCTGAAGAATTGAAAATATAAATTTTATTCTCCATACTTGAAAAATTAGATTGTAGCATTTTTTTAATAACAAATCATTCATTCATTTTCCATGTTTACAACTGTAGTACCTAATTCCATTGACTGTGGAAGGCCGGGTATATTTCGTGAGGAGACCAGTGACATTAGAGCTCTTCGTTGTTAGACGCCTAAATAAAAAATGCATGAACTTCATAGTAAATAAACATTCGGTAATCCGCGATTATAGCTCCTCCAAATTATTTTCGCGAAGACTGTGAATATGTGATTTTTTTGCTTTTATCGTGTAGTTCCTAAATCCTTCAAGAGACGAAAGATTCAATTGAATTTGAAATGCGAGAGCATTATTGAGGGTCTATCATAATAAATTATCTTACGATATGTAGGGCGTGATTTCATCGACAGTCCACTTGTCTTTGACCTGGAAAAGTTGATGGAATCGTTCGTGAATGTCTTCAGAGAGACTGGACTCGGGAAAAGCTACAATATCTGTTCTTCCTTTGTCCTTGTTGTATTCGATGACAGCTAGACCATTCAAATACTTCTCTTTGGGTTTCAAGTCTACACAAAAACAGTGGAGCTTAATCGAATGCGGATGTTGCACATCAAATTTCACGTAAGAATGATAATAATATTTACGTTCAGGCGCTCCGATTTGCCAGGCCTGCATGAATTTTTCGTAGGCATTTCTAGGAGATGCAGCCAATAGCACTTTAGCCAACAGCTGACAAACTTTCTCTGCATTATAGGCATACAGAGAGTGACCCTCTGCAGACTCCTGCTTTTTACTCTTCGAGCTTCTCTCTGTGTATCTATCAAAGATCAGGTCAAAGACTGGCCGTGGAATAAGTTCCTCTAGTGCCTCGAACGTTTGCTCTTTATCTACTTCATCCGGTTGCCAGGAATTCTCCTCCATAAAGTCTAACATCAGAGTTAAAGCTCTGGCTTCATACTCGAAAGCAATTAAACGATAATATCCTGGAATGTAGGCGATACTCGTAAATTCTTAAATAAGCATCAATCAACGCTCAGCGCTAATGCCAATCATTTTTTTCGTGATAATCGAAGTTTCTATTTAACCAACGATTTATTTTTCATATTTCAGTATCAGGGGAGCATGAGAATCGAGGAGGTATTCACTGAATTTTGAAAATTCGAAATTTTTAAAAAAGTATCAGGGGAGCATAAAAATCGAGGAGGTATTCACTGAAAATGAAAAATTCGAAATTTTCGAAAAAGTATCAGGGGAGCATGAAAAGCGAGGAGGTATTCACGGAAATTTGAAAATTCAAAATTTTGGAAAAAGTATCAGGGAGGCATGACAATTGAGGAGGTATTCACTAAAATTGAAAAATTTGAAATTTTCAAAAAAGTATTGGAGGAGCATGAGAATCGAGGAGGTATTCACTAAAATTAAAAAATTTGAAATTTTTGAAAAAGTATCAGGAGAGCATGACAATTGAGGAGGTATTCACTGAAATTGAAAAATTCAAACTTTTCAAAAAGTATCAGGGGAGCATGACAATTGAGGAGGTATTCACTGAAATTGAAAAATTCGAAATTTTCGAAAAAGTATCAGGGGTGCATGAAAAGCACCATTGCGTGTGGCCCCTTTCTCTCTTGGGGTGAGGTACTGCAATGCCGGTGGGGTCACTCAAACCCCCAGAACTGAGCCTCTACTTTAGTCAATCCTCTTTGGTTGCAATCCGCAAACAGAAAAGGTCACTGACTTCATGTTTCTAGCTAAAGTATCAGCAACAGCTCTTTAGCCGAAAGAGGTAAATCCCTGAATTCTGAATCACATGCAGAATTACCAGCCGAGTCTAACGCGAGGCTGATAAACACGAGAGCACAGATCTTTTATTTTACCTTCGGTTGCTAGAGCAATATTTTCTGTTACGGCGAGGGCTGAAAGGATATTTTCCAACATCTAATTTTTCCGTCAATCCATTTCAGACATACTAACATGGGCTAGAAAAAAAATTTCCCAATTCCCAATAGTGGAAATTTTCCGGAAAGCTCAAGGGTTCTGATTTACTGCAGCATGTAGAATAATAAAATATTACTATAGAAAATTATTCGTGGATTGGAATCCTTTGTATACACACCGTCAATTTCAGCCACTAGATTCTGGGAAAATGCATTTTTCAATTCCCCATCGCTCATTTGTACACTCTCCCGCAGTCTTTTCCAAGTATACAATGACGATTTATCGATTTGTCTTTCGTATTCTACTCCTTTGAACGATGAGGGACTCAGAATAGCTAACAAATCTCCTACTTTGAGCCTGGACTCTCGAAGCTATATGACAATGTCAATAGAATCATCAGTATGTCCAATAACATGTCACGGCAAATATTCGATTAATATACCTCATAATACGTATGAAAAATCCTCTCAATGTCAATCCTTTCAACTTTTCTTTCTCCCTGATTCTCCATTTTTTTTATTTCCTCCGATAATTTTAATTTCGGAACTAGAATCAGGGAATTTGACATTTCAGCCTCTTTAACTTCGTAAGTCCTCGTATCACTGCACAGGACTATATGACCGTCTATTCCACTCTTGAAACACAAGCTTACGATTCAAATATTTTTATTAATTAAAAATTCATGGAAAATATATTTTCAAAAAATAAATTTATGTACTCACTCCTGATCTTCTTTCACACAAGACACTAAATGCTCGTCCATCTCCAGTAATATTAACTTTTTATTCTTGTCTAATTCAGGTCGTTGTTTCAGGTTGCTGTAGAGCACCTGAGTAGAATTCATCAATTTTTGCGGCGAAAGCCCAGCCAGCTTCAGAGTTTCGTCCACCTCTTCTGCCGAACGTTCGTATCTGAATTTTATTAATAGTGAGGTAAACAGAATAAATTCTCTAATTTCTGCGAGAGAGAACGAGAAAAATGTGTTTATGCCTTTCATTGAGGGCCATATCGATAAAATTATGGCAGTCAGTTCCTCGAGAATTCCACTATTTGTCTATAATAATATTTAAAAAACTCTATTGAAATTTGTTGACATGTGCAGTGCACATGAGTAACCCACGATTAAGGCCCGGATGGAGGGAGTTTTTTCTCGACTGGCGACTTTACGCCTTCATACTCCGCGGACAAAACCCGAACACTGATCTAAAGCGATGCCCTGTCGGTAACTACGGCAAACGCTGGAAACCAGGGCAACATCGGACAGTGGGGCTTTGGAGGGCGCCAGAAAACTTTTTCATTCTTTTTTTTTTAATTCGAAAAGTGCATTGAGATATTCCAGATGATGGGCGCGACGAGACGCATCGATTTCATGTATAGAAAAGTCGATTTTCGCGATTTTTTTTTTTTTT